ACATGCTAAGGACTGTTTATACCCTGATGTACCTTATTCTGCAGCATAAACATTTAAAACTCTGTCTTTCAATTAATCATATTTAGTTAATTAACAAATCCTTTAATCTGGAAAACCTCCCAGTAACAGTTCTTTAGCAAAAACACCATGCAGGATAGTAAACACCACGTTCTTAAAAATGTTTTCCCTCAGTCTCTTTACTTACAAATGTAAAAGTATAATGGGGGCTGGTGGGGGGAGAAGGTTAATTTGGGAATCAACGTTCTTGTTTGGGCACATTTTGTGTGGCCCACTTCTATCAAGTCTAAGGTACTTGCGTTTTTGACATCCATACACCTAGAGTTTCCTACAAATATAGCATTAACACCCCTAGAGATAAATAACCATACTAATCGAGTCAATGAAACATGAACTTTCTGTGCTGAGTCAAGAACCCCTTGAGACCAGCTGGAAGTATTTAAAAACATACAAGTTTAAGGCTTGAAGCAGCCTCAACTTCTGATACATCTTACTCTCCCTGCCCCTCATCCTCAAATCTCAGATTATGCCATTCAGAATTCTTAAAGGACCTGAGGTTACTGGCAAAGTCTGAAACAAGTCAGTCCTACTCATTCCCAAATTGAATTCGGTGCTAAATGCATAACAGTACAGTGCCTCCTGGGGCTGGCGGAGAATGTCTTGCAGTCTAGGTGTAATTAACTGGCCTATCCTTTCTAATCATCCTTTCGCTAATATAAAGATATGGAACCATATGAAAGACATGTACTGGTCACCACGCAAGGAAATATTCCCATTTTCACATCAGATTTTTCTTCATCTTTCAAGTTATGTGATACATATAGACATACCCCATCTATAGGTTTCATTCCATTTCTCAAGGAAAAAACTCTAGATTAGAATGAAAGAAACTCCATACCCAGGTTATTTGATATTTTGGTGGTTTCTTAAATTCCAAATATTAAAAAAAAAAATTTGCAAAACACTGGAGGGTGGTGACCATCAGAGAAAGCATCCTCTGAAATTAATTTTTTTAAAAAATGAACAAGACTTAGACAGGTGTGGGGGTGGGGCAGAAAGGGAAAAATTCCAAAAAGAAGGAACAGCATGTCAAATGGCCTAGATGAAAAACAAAACCAGAAACAATTTGGCGTATGTTAGGTATATTTAAACTTTTTTACCACAACCCCGAGATACTTTACACCTGGACGCAGTACACACATCTATGTGTATTTACGTATGTGTGCAAGGGTACCCCTTCCTACCTGACCTGCCTACCTGATCCAAGCTCTCACTACCCAAACTAAGGTTCCTAACAGACTCACATAAGTTATTTTTAGGATGGGGCTGGTGTCCCTCCCGTGGCGGGGAACACAGGTGCCTCCTGGAGGAGAGAACCTGAAGCATCACACCTGCAACCTTCCCAGCACCGCCCTGGGGCATGGGAGCACTTGGCGGTTTTCCTTCTCGGAGTCCCCTTTCCCTACCCCTGCAGTAAGCCTGGGCTGACAGGCATCACAAAGCCCAGCTCCCTTGCCTCCAAAGCAGGACAAGCCCTGCAGCACACCCTTACTCAGCCTCCTCCCCTCCTGCTCCTGTTCCCCTCCCTCCCTGGCAGGTTTCTCCTAAGAACACTCCATGAATAAATCACCTGCACATAAAACACCCAAGTGGTGCCCAAGTGCCCGAAGCTCGTTCCTCAATATCGTGCCCAAGTAAAGGAACCACGGCTTGTCTGAGAAATGAGTAAGTCTATGGCTGGGCCAGGGGAGGCCCTACAGGAGCCAGAGATATCTTGTGTGAGAAAAAAAAGTAAATGCTCAGAAAATGATGGGAGCACATCCCAAGGACCCAGAAGCTGGTTTGAACGAACTCTCACTGGCCAAATCTGAGAAAACGTGAGTACCAAAATAATTACACACAGTAACAAATGATGAACCATGGAGAAGACAGAAATTCATGAGTCCACACCAGTAACAAATCTGTAAGTTTCCTGTCTCCAGCAAAATGTCAACAACCATCTAATAAATATGGAGAGAGCACTGGAGGTAGAAAACCATCATTCTGTAACCATCATAGGAAAGACTGAATCAGGCAAAAATCATCAATGGAGGCTCAATCAAAGGGAGATTTTTGATGAGGAATGAACATCTGCATGGTCTTCAACGGTCTCCCCACAGATTACTTATTAATTACAAGAGAGGAAAAAACATAGCAAAGAAATGGCACAAGACCTTGGCTGGGTCGTCAAAATTACAACCACCCATGAGGGACGGACCTCCCATGCCTCCAGGTGTGATGCCCCGATGCAGATGGTTCAGCTGAGATCTCGCTTGGGATCTGAATAAAAGTCAGATCAACACACAATGAAGGAAAGTTCTACCTGTCACTCTCTTGCACTTGCAGTGTCTTCCTGTTACTCTTGGATAAAATTCAAACTCCACCAATGGGTTTAGGAGACATTTCATGATCACACTCCAAACCCCACAGGGCCTCCAAAAACATCCCTCTCTGACTTCAATGCTTCTCTCTTTTCTGTGCTCTCTGCTAACGCCAGCGTTTTTAAATTTCAGAGAACAGAGGACTTCCCTGGCAGTCCAGTGATTAAGAATCCGCCTTCCAATGCAGGGGACTCGGGTTAGATCCCTGGTCAGGCAACTAAGCTCGTGGGCCACAACTACTGAGCCCATGTGCTCTAGAGCCTGCTCGCCTCAATGAAAGATCCCGCATGCCGCAACGAAGATCCCACGTGCCGAAATAAATAAATTTTAAAAATAAATAAATAAATTTCAGAGAACAATTTCAGGTTGTTAATCGAATGAGACAAAAGCAATATATTTTCTAGTGCAAACATGATTTGAGCTTAGCAATACATAAAATGTGGGAAGTCAGATTTTTAGCTCTCAACTTGAATATAATTTGTGTGTAACCAGATACTGTGAAAACACAGAAGCAATAAAATAAAAAATTTTCTAATCAACTACATTATAGTATTTTTCCATATTAATCACACAATGCTCAGGAAAAAAAAAAGATTCTCCCAACTGTTTAGATGTCTAACTTGAAAAGCAGAATCTTCCAGTGACTGAGGGTGCTGGTATACCTAAAGCTCATCTACCTCCATCTCCTTGGGAACCACTAAAAGAACCCATGCAACCTAAGTATTCCAATAGCCGCCATAATACCATCCTCCCAAGATACACACATCTTACTCATGGATTCCCCTTATTCTTCCCCACATTCTTCCCCTTATTAGACTTCTGGAAGAAAAAACCCATGAAGGGAGACACACGCACACACTTAAGGGAACTTCTCTCCTGCTGCCCCCACTGTGAATCCACCCTAATAGACGGGGCAGGGAAACTTCCTACCCTGCTCAAAGAGGAAAAGGCAGAAGAAAAACAGAGGAGAAGGCAATCTCTTCCAGTTGTTAGAAAATGTAAGAAATCAAACTTCTCAGGCCCAGGTTCCTGTGAGTTGTCATCTGGGAATATAATCATGTCAGATGATTTCTCTGGACTCTGGAAGCAGCAAAGGCTTAACTGGGTGTCCTTTCAGGACAGCACTGGGCTGGACTTCCCATGACTGGACTATTTTACAACTTGTTAGGGGCAGAGTTTAAATTCTAGAACTCTGTCCAACAGAGATAGAAATAATATCTGACCAGTGGGAAAGATAACGCCCAAAATGACAGTTTATGGCCCTATTAAATTAACCAGCTTTTATCTAAGCCTATCTATGACATATTCTAGTATCCACCTTCTCAATGCTTTCTGGAGTGTTTTTTACATTTTACTGGTTCCCTTACTAATTACTGAGTTGAAGAAAATCTTCAACACATATTCACTTTGTATTAGCATAAGTAATCATTTTACCTTTCTGGAAATTCTACTTCAACAAGCACCACTTGTAACACCCTTTCTATAGGTGATCAATAAACAACTCTAAAATTTCAATCACCTAAGTTTGACTGGATTTTTAAAATAAATACAATACTTGCAGAAAGAGTTATAAATTGGTTAAGTTATAACTTGGAATAAGGCTAACTGCTTAAATCCTTTCATAGGAGAATGAACTATACTGTATATTTCTTGAATCATTACTATGTGATCAAAGGTCCTGTTTACAGCTACAGATGTAGGGAGAACTTCCCTAGGAGCAGGGAGATTAGGCTGATAAGAAAACAAAGCTGAAGATCAAGTCAATAAACCTGGGAGAGAGCTGTGTTTCTCCTCTGCATGTTAGAACTGCCCGTGGACTATTTTAAACTGCCAGAGGCTTGGGCAAAGTAATTCTGAACATCTGCAAGTGCAAACAGCAACTAGTATTTTTAAAAAATTTCTCTCTCCCTCACACTTTCCCTGGGTGTTTTGGACTCTCCTCCAGCTCTCTCTTTGCACTCAAATAGTAAGAGAAAATAGGGAACGTAATTATGGCTGATAAGCTTCCAAAGAGTGCTGGTATTGCCTCTACATTCACAGAAAGGAAAATTGCTTAAATAAAACTACATGTACGTATGCAACCTGCATTTCATTGTTGGGTTCAGAATTTCTTGAGAAAAATGAACAGTTCGTTAAAATGGCAGTTAGTTAAAAGCCGCTGCCAAATGAAAATCAAACTTGTATGAAGATTTTTTTGAAACCTAACATAAACCAATGAGAAAACAGATTTTGCTATATAAGCTTCATTTGGCATATCTACTCATCTCAGAAACATACCCCTGTGTACTGTAAGAAGAGGAATATCAAAATATGAATCTATGTTTCAACCTATGAACCAAACAAAAATTAAGTTTAAAAGAAAAAAAGCTGACAATACATTTGTATCCTGATATTTAAACAAAGAAGTATTTAAAAAATCGTCCTACTTGCTGAGTCCACTTTCTTACTTTCCATTCCAATCTTGTTTCCATGTCTTCTTTCATCTGAATTTCCAATGAGCATCATGTTGTTAGACTGGACCATCACTAGCCACCCAGCTGAAGTCAAGAGCCTAGGAATTACTCTTCATGCCTCCCTTTCGCTCACCACTCTTATTCAATTCAACAGCAAGTCCTGTCAATTTCTCCTCCAAAACATCTTCCGAAGCTTTGTCTTTCTTTCCATGTCTTCCTAATACCAGCCCAGGCCAATACATACCAACATATCTGGCCTGGACTGCTGCTACCATCTTAACCTTCCTCTCTGGGCCCTCTACAATGCTACCACTGCTACCAGGGTAGTAAAGGCATAACGTATCATATTATGTCACTGCCCTCTTTAAAACCTTCCACACATTTTTGATAACATCAGGAAAAGTCCAAATGCTTACTTATCACCGCTCAAGCCCTGCAGCATCCAGGTTCTGCCTACCTTCCCAGCATCCTTCCTGACAGATCTCCTCCACACTCGGGCCCTCACTCCAATCAAATCGTTTAAGCACTTGCACCTTGGAGCGCCTTAGCATACTGGTTCCTTACCTCTTTACAGGACTGCTTTCTCTGGTCCTTCAGATGCCAATTCACATGACACTTCCTCCTAGTGCTCTTCACTGACCCTTCCACCTAAAGTGGTCCGCGCTTTACCATCTACCTCTGTCACCGCTTATTTTCTTCACGTTTACCACAATCTGTAAAAGTGTGTACGGGGAGAGGGGTGCTGCCTTCTTTCTTCCACCACTGGAACACAAGATCTAGACAGAGCAGGGACTTTCTGTCCTATACACTAGTTTCCTAGGGCCTAGAACATGACACGACACACTGAGGTGGCAACAAGTATCTGTTTACTCCATAAGGACTCAAGCGGCAGCACGGCCGGCAGCACGGCCTGCAGCCCGGGCTGGACGTGGGATTCTGAGTCGCACCCGGACTCGGCTCCCCCAGCCACAAGACTTGTCAGCCACACGTCTACTCCCTTCTCCCTGAGTCACCAAAGGGGCTAAAGCCAATCAGCACTCCCCCCAGACCCGCAACTCTGCGAGCAACCTCCGCGCCGGGTACCGCAGGGGACCCCTGAGGACGGCGTCGGAGGCAGGCACTGATGCCGCGCAGCACCAGGAAGGCGCGCCGAAGTCAAGAGGACGGGACCGGGAGTCCGGGGACACTTTCCAGAGAAACGGGCCCTCGCCCCTGACCGGTGTGTTCAAGTCGGACCACAGATACTTAAAGGAGCCTGTGCCCCAAACTGTGCAAAGAGCATGATGACATGGAGGCAGGCGCTAGGGGGGAAACGTCCGCAAGCCACAGTCGGACCGCCATCCCCGAACCCTCGCGCCGATGGCCGGCGGGCCGGGCGCCAGGGACGCGGGAGGGCGGGGCGGCCTCGGCGCCGCGCCACCTCCAGCCCGCCCCCCGGCCCACCCCCCACGCTCGCCGCACGCCCCCGAGACTCAGCAACCCCCGCCTCCCGCCCCGTACCTGTGGGGTCGAGGGCCATGTCCGTGCGCGGGAGGTGGCAGCCGCGTGGCCGCCCGCACAGGTGGGGCGGGGCTAGGCCCCACGTGAGATGGGGTGGGCGGCACGCGGGGTCAGGAGGAGGAGCGTGGGGCCCTACGCAAAACTGGGCGGCCCCTACCCCTCTGACTTCCTGGTCGCGACTTCCGCCGCCCACTGCGCCTGCGCACTCCTAACCCCGCACTCAACCCCGTGACCCGAGTGAGAGGACTTGTTGGAGGCAAGGACCGGGGAGGGGGGCGTTGCTGCGCGCCCGGGGTCGGGGGTGGGGGCCGCCTGGACCGCGCAGGCGCGCTGGGGGCCAAAGGGAGCGCCTGCTGGCCCATCCTGTAAGTAGCGTGCCTGGGGGATGCGCGTCCCGGGGCGACTCGGTTCAAGTCCAAGCCTCTCCCTGCACTCCCGCCTTCGAACCAAAGGAAACAGACTGCTCCTTTGTTTTTTCTTCGTTAACGTTCATTCATTCATAAGTGTCTATTTCATGCCTGCCAGGTTCCAGCCACGGTTCTGAATACTAGAGTGAAATAAATGGATAAAAATAAGGTCCTTAAGTCCCGAGGCGCACAGTGTTGGCGGGGAACCCGGGTATGGGCAGCACGCTGCTAAATGCGGCAAGCGGCACTTAAAGGCGGTGCAGCACCCTAGTACTGTGTGTAGCATCCTGATTCCGCCCCCCTCCCCCCCACAGATCGGAAGCCTGTGCCTCCCCCGGAGGTTACAATTAGGAAGTGGGCGTTAGGGGTACCTCTGTCTCGTGAAATGATACCCTCAGGGCGCACAGTCCGATTTGGGTGATGCTACACATCCCCACTCTGGCAATTAAAACTGCATGTTTGTGAGAAAAAAAATGAAGGAAGGTGATAGCCATCGTCCTCAAGAACCCCAACTGTCCCCTTCACAGTAGAAGAAACTTTCTGAGTAGCAATGATGCTCATACCCACTCACCAACCAGCCTTCAGAAAGGCTCCCTTGTCGTATCTCCGTGTAGCTCCAGCCCCCGAAGGGTGAGGTGAAGGGTGAGGGGCGGATGGGGACAGATGCGGATGGGGACAGATGGGACAGATGTTAGAAAAACAAGGAGCAGCTGCTTCCCTGTGAGGGATTTAAGGCTTTCAAAAAGATCCCCTCCCCACCTACATGCAGGCCCTCCTCCCCTGCTGCTGCTTCCGCCTGGTCAGTTGGCAGAGAAGCTGACGAGGTGGAGCAGGGCTGGGAAAGTGGGTCTCTGCTCAGCAGGTCTTCCGTTTAAGGGCCTATTTGGGCATAACGGCCCTTATTACAGCTGCAGGATGAGGTGCCAAGCTGGAGAATTAATGTTTCACTCAGCCAGGCAGGAAACTGGGTATGTTTATAAATGTGTTTAGAAGCACACCGAATTCATTCTGGAGGTGAAGAAATTTAATGTAAAAAGTAACTCTTTTTGAGGAGATGAGGTGAGGTATAAAAACACAAGTCAGACACACTTAAGTAGTTAAACAAAATCTTCCTTATACAAACGGGTGCAGATCCTTGGAAAGCATCAGAGACCTAAATGCCTCCACCTGAATCCTGCTTCATGACCTGTTAGCTTTCTAGGTGGGCTAAGTCCCAACGTTTCTCTTGACTTTAGTTTTTAATTTGCAAGGTTGTTGTGAGAAATAAATGTAATACCATCTAACACTCTTT